TGTGAACGTAAGACACTGACCTTGCACGGATGGTAGGCATGTCCTTCATTTGACCGGTTGAAGTTCACAACAAGTGTGTGGAGGTAACTAACGTAATCATCACCATCATCATAGTCATAGCTAACGATGGGTATGAGGCGTGCATATAAACCCAGCAAAATGTTAAATGCCAAAAAAGTAGTTCAATCATGAGTTCAAATGCTACCGGACCACATGAGTTTGGATGAACGAATGAATCTAGCAAAGGTATGTTAGACCACAAAACAGTCTATTTCTCATCTAGATTATATCTTCTGCAAGACTTCTTGGAAGTGCATAGAAAGTGAATTTGCTCAAGTAACAAAAGGCTTACAAACTTAAGAAAGGGGATTAATTTGAATTTCACTTTTCGAAAGAGAAACCCCAATTAGGAAAAGTCAAAAGTCAGGCGGGCCCAAACTACTATTAATATTTAGTAGAACTCCTGCAACAAAATAGTTTATTTGAAGTAAATCATGCCACCTACTAACATTTAGCTTTAGAGCAGTTATCATTTGGTTTCAAGGCGAACTAATATATGGGAGGCATATCCAATTCGGAATCGATTTTTACTAAATTTGTCGGAGACATTTTTATCTTTATGTCAAATAACATTGCTATGAAGTACATGATATCACTTCGAGAAGGGGTACATTAAAAATATATGTATCGGAGCCGAGTTCCACCAAATGGAAACGTTCGTCCCGAAATTCACTCCATTTGGGCTGATATTAGCCATTATTTGCTCCATAAAACTGAAATCGGATTAAGGATATAATGGGAGCGATATCCAAATCTTACCCAATTTCGATAAAAGTTGGCAAAGGTATTTTCAAGCTATAAAATTTCTGGTCCAAATATCATTGTTGTCGAATGCATATTACGAATGTAAGGGACTTAAAGATCAAATCGGATGAAACATTTATATGGGAGACAAAGCTATATCTGAACCGATTTTCTCCAAATTTGACTGAATTTGGTCGGATGTATCAAAATGTATTTGGACTGCTATTGGCCACTTGGTGCACAATTAACCCGAAATCGATTGAAGATATATGTATGGGAGCTATATCTAAATTTCAAGCAATTCTCACGAATTTCAATAGAGTTCGTTCTTGTCCAAGAAATATTGTTTGGAACATTTCATCTCAATCGGATAATAAATACGACCTGGATTTTGTTTACAAAAATACATGGACAGACGGACGGACGGACGGGTTGACATGCATAAATCGACTCAGAAAGAGATTCTATGAAGATTCTCAAAAGCAACTATTGGTCTATCCCGGTTTCTTCTCCCTGTTACAAACAAATGCACAAAAGACATAGAACAAAGAAGTTAAATAGAATCAGTCGGTATTGCCGACGTCTGCATACCCTCAGCCAATGTAATGATTATTCAAACTGTTTACCGTTCATAGAAGAGGCTCCCAAGGTGTGGGCTAGTAATTATTATGAATATTGGAAATTGTTACCCCTTGTGGGGGAGATACCCTAAGGAGTGTGTCGATATTTGTAATCTTTTTATACCCTTCACCATATTCTTGATCAGCATAAAATTCTACGTCGATTTAGCAATGTCCGTCCGTCTATCCGTCTGTGGGAATTACTCTAGCTTCCGAACGAAATGAAGTAAGTTGATAAAAATTTACTCAAATGTGTTTTATGTCTGCAGCACTTTTGGTATTGAAAATAGGCCATTTAGGTCCACGTCTTCGTATAGCCCCCATATAACAGTACCTTCCGATATGCGGTATTTTGATGATTTTAGCGACATTATTTACAGGAATTGTTTCAAATTTTTTTTGAAGTTCGTAATGGATACTATAGCTTAAGACAGAAAATGGGCCATGTAGGTTTACGTCTTCGTATAGCCCTCATATAACGGTACCCCCCGATATTCGGTATTTTGATGATTTTAGCGACATTATTTACCGGAACTATTTCAAATTTGGTATTTGAAGTTCGTAATGAATACTACAGCCTATTATAGAAAATTGTCTGTGTAGATCTACGTCTTCGTGTAGCCCCCATATAACGGTACCCCCTGGTATTTGGTATTTTGATGATTTTAGCGATATTATTTACCAGAAATGTTTCAGATTTCGCGCTTGAAGTTCGTAATGGATACTACAGCCTACGGCAGAAAATTGTCTGTGCAGCTCCAAGTTTTATAACCCTCATGTACCTCCTTATATTCGGTATTTTGATGATTTTAGCTACATTATAAACAGATTTTTTTCAAGTTTCGCATTTGAATATTGTAATAGCTTATGACAAAAGTTACCTATGCAGGTCCATGTCGTCGTATAGCCCCTTATTACTACTTTTGGTATTTTTGAGATTTTAACAGAATTTTTAACGGATTTAATTTTGTTTGGAAAATTGATACTTTGTGGGGAAGGTACTTGATGGAGTGGACCAATATTTTCCAATTCCGCGCCAGACCTAGAACTGATGCAAATATTAGGATTTGCAAAGTTGGAGCAAAATCGGTTTATCCTTTCTCTCTCTGTGCAGTAAAATATTTTTTTTTTTTTTTTTTTTTTTTTGAAAATTTCGACCTTTTGTGGGAGAGGTACCAGAAGGAGTGAACCGATTTTGACCATCTCCGAACTCGATCTAAGTTAGACAATAATATAACGATGTACCAAGTTTGGACCAAATCGGATATTCCATTCAAAAGTTATCGTGCATACCAGCCATACAGACAGACGGACGAACATCGCTAGATCGACTCCAAATGTCCTAAAACGGATTCAGGATCTAAAGCTGTCGGTGAGGCACGTTTTGGCCATATCAAATGATATGTACCCTCTCTAGGCTAAGGGTATAATGAACTGGTGGAAGGAATTTTTAGTTGGAATTTTTGCTGATGAAGAAGCGGACACTTGCTAGCCTCATATAAAATGAATCGGATAAAGTTCAAGCTTCAATATTTATATCAGATTTTAGTCCAAAGCGAACGTGAAAAATGCCTACCCAATGCTTCTCGCATCTCCCCCAAAGTTCAATTACAAGGTGAGATAAAAAAACTGCAAGCAACTTCAGACTGCTGTCATTTCTAAGCCACTCGTCCGACAGCTGTTAAAATTATTTCAGTGACAGTTCATTATATTGTTTATAAAGCGTACAAACGCATTTCGGGGAGAATATTCCAGAAAAAAAGTTATTCGTGATTGAATTCAAGCGTGATAATGTGATTTCTTTATATTTGGGTGGAAATCCACAAGTCGATCACCTCAAGCAAGCGCTTCACCGGGAATGGGCCAAAATACCGCAGAGCAACATTCGGCCAGCGTGTGACGGTTTAATTGGCCGTTTGAAGGCCATAATTTGTGCCAAAGGTGACCAATTCGAACAGATCTAAAGTTATTCTAAAATTTGATGCTATTTCCGATATTTTTTGCTTTCATTCAATAAAATTGAAAAAAAAATGTAAAAGTTTTGGGGTTTGACTTTGTTGCAGTTTTTTTTTATTTCACGCTGTAGATTTCGCATGTAGTTATAACCTGGCAACTAAAAATCAATAAATAAATTAAAAAATAAACAAATAAAATCATAAACATATAATCTTCGAATTTATAAAACCAAACTCAAAAATTAAAAAAAAAAGTTAAAAAGCAGTAAGTTCGGCCGGGCCGAACTTTGAATACCCTTCACCATATGGAAAGAATTTAGAAATTTTCAAAAAGTAAAATCCATAAAAAATTCTGTTAAAATTAAAAAAAACGAATATTGCCGTTATATTGGGGTCTATACAACGTGGACCTACATAGGTATTGCTTGTCATAAGTCATTACCATATTCAAATTCGAAACTTGAAATAAACGGTGAATAATTTAGCTAAAATCATCAAAATATAGGGAGGTACAGTTATATCGGTGCTGTGCGAAGACCTGGACCAGTATAGACAATATTCTGTCATGGGCTGTAGCATCCATTACGAACTTAAAAGAACGACATCTCAAACAATTTGTACCTAATTCGTCAAAATACCGAATATAGGGAGGTACTGGTATATGGGGCCTATACGAAGACCTGGACCTGCATAGACAATTTTCTGTCACAGGCTGTAGTTCCTATTACGAACTCTAAATATGTAATTTGAAACAATTCCGATGAATAATGACGCTAAAATCATCAAAATACCGAATACTGGGAGGTACCGTTATATGGGGCTATACGAAGAGGTGGATCTGCACAGACAATTTTCTGTCATAGGCTGTAGTATCCATTACGAACTTCAAATACCAAATTTTAAACAGACAGACAGACGGACATCGCTATATCGACTTAGAATTTTACGCTGATCAAGAATATATACACTTTGTTGGGTCTGAAATGAGTATTTCGAGGAGTTATAAACGGAATGACAAAGTTCATATACCCTCCATAGTATGGTGGAGGGTATAGAAATTTGTTCAAATTTTGAAATATTCTCTTTTACTTTGTCCGCTGCTGGTATTGAACTAACAACCTAATAGTTGCCAGCTTAACACACTACACACATTTGCGAATATAAGCATTTGTTGTTGGATTGTTCACATCAGCTTCTAATGAGTTTTGTGACTAATACAACTCGCCAGGTTTTGCTGGAAAGTTAAAATTTTTTTGACAGAAAAATAATTTTTGTATCACTTTATGAACTATATCAGGTCCCATAAAACTTGAAGGTCTTAAATACATGGGGTCAAAATTTCTACGCTCATATATTTCGGCAGTGCTTGATTTTTACTTACATCTTGAATCTGCGATCTTGATATTCTGCAAAATTTCTTTTCAACTGCTCTATACAGTTTCCAGAACACGTTAACTATAATTGATGCGTGATTTTTCTGGAAAAGCTCAAAATTTAAGCAAAACAAACAAGAAATGACCAACAATGAAAAAAAAAGTTTACAAATATTTTACGGCCAGAACATCAACCAACTATGCGGCCTTACGAAACACTTGAAACAGATTTTCAAGAAAGAACTACAACAAAGTTGATATAAAAGCTTATCATTTGATTTGCTTGCACTTTAGTTAAATTCCGAACGTTACTCACCACATTTGTCGCGCTTCACATCATGATTGGCAGATTCTGGCACATTCTTGCGGTGGTGGCAGCAGCAGCATCGGTTTTAACACCCAGTCTGGCCGACGAACAGGCCATTAGCAAATGCGATAAAAGCCCTTTGACCGAACTGACATTTCAATTGAGTGGCAGCAGTTTGTTGTGGCCCTGTGATTCGACGAAAAACATCTACGTTCAATCGGGTCGTTATGTACCGCGCAATGTAATAGTGACACGAGCTCAGCTACAGCGGGACTCTGCCTTTGTGGCTTTACCGCGCTACAAACAAGGTGTGCCATTCACGCTGGGCAAAGTGAACCTGAAGAAGGGACAATGTCTAACGAAAATCGCACCATATCCCTGTTGGGCCATACAGGAGGAGGGCAACTGTCAAGCTCTGCAGTCTGTGGTTGACATTGCTGTGGATCAAAATGTAAGTAACTGGGAAGTGGATGTGTGCTTTTAATTAATATTCTGCTAAGAATATTGAGATGAGATGACAAGGTGGGGATTGTTAATTGGAATAGTAGGAAGGGCGCTTACTATGCGGTTATTTACTGAAAATTTAAATGTGGAGAACATTTGAAGTTTTTTTGGGAGAAATTAGGTATGGGTATAAAATAACATTGATAATTACCAATCTGCAAATTTAAACATTTAATTTCGATTTCAAAACTTCAAATGGGTTTTTGGTCAAACTTTTTTAAATCTTTATAGAACAAGGCCAAATTTTGAATACTCTCCGCTCCAATTTCTCTAGTATCTCTCCCTCAAAAGTTAAAAAAAAATCGAAAAAATTCGATATTGGCCAACTGCTTCTGGTACTAATAATTATAGGTTAACTTTGACTTTTCATTTTTATACCCTCCACCTTGGAAAGGAGGGTATATTAACTTTGTCATTCCGTTTGTAACATCCTTAAATATTCGTCGTAGACCCCATAAAGTATATATATTCATAATCAGTATAAAATTCTAAGTCGATTTAACGATGTCCGTCTGTTTGTCTGTTCCACATTATTTGACGTAGATCGCCAAAATTTAGCAGAGCAATTTGTGTTGTGTCTAGGATGGTTGGTATAACGGTACCTCCCGATATTCAGTATTTTGATTATGTTTGCCACATTTTTTCACGGATTTGTCTAAAAATAGGTATTTGTTGGTCATAAGGGGTTCCAACTCCGGTAGCGAAACATTGCATGTATAGGTCCACATTTTGGTATAGTCCCCATATAACGGTACCTCCCAATATTCGGTATTTTGATTATTTTTGCCATATTTTTTCACGGATTTGTCTGAAAATTGGTATTTCTAGGTCATAATGAGTTCTAGCTCCTTTGGCGAAACATTGCATGTGTAGGTCGACGATTTGGTATAGCCCTCATATAACGGCACCTCCCGATATTCGGCATTTTAATGGTTTTTGTCACATTTCTTCTAATGTTTCCTTTACCCTAAGGTGGAGGGTATTAAAAGTTTGGCCCGGCCGTACTTAATGTTTTTTTACCTGTTCATACACATCCATATAAGCAATTTTCCTCTTAAAACTTATAAAAAACTGAGTCAAAGAGTTACAAAACTTTGACCGGCAACTCCTTCCTAAAATTTTAAAATAAATAATTCAACAACATGCGCTTACAAAATGTAAGGTTTAAGGTAATATATGTAAGGGTCAAGGTTAAGGGATAAGTTTCTTTTGAAATTGTGATAGGGAAAAAATGTATATAACTATGTAAGTAAAGCCTATAGTCGGGCCTATAATAGCTTACACCACTATAATATGCGACAAAGTTTCTGTAGACCTGAAACTCATTTGACCCTCGAGATTCAGTCCCGTATTAACTAATAATTCCAAATGTTAAGGTTAATTTTGTAACTTTTGATTAAGGACTAGCGTAGCTGGGCTGCTGTGTTAGTTTCGAAAGATTAGGACTGAAATGAAAGGGACATAAAAAGAGTCAATGTTCAGACCGAACTTCGAAAGTTTCGTTAGCCCTTGAGATTGTTGCCCTCGTTTTGTTGCTTCGTGGGCGCCTGTCTCGTTATTTATGCATTTCTAAGGCTCGTACATTTAACATTATCTCTCTATTAGATCGCAGCCGAGTCTGTGTTTGTTTCTGATTTTAAGATGTTCGAACTTCTGCAATTCGTTGTCTACGGTACTGTGGGTGTATCCCCCGTTCCTCTGGCGTTTCTGTCCTCCATATTTCTGATATTTTTTTTCCTCAGACTTTTAAAAGCGAACAACGAACGTTGTGGCGTTTCAGATTCTCGTACTTCTGCCATTCGCTCCCTAGTGTACCGTAGATTTAATTCATGTTGCTCTGGCGTTTCTGAAGTTCGTAGTTTTGAAATTCGTTCACTACTAAGTTTCGCAGCCAAGCTTCCAAAAAGCAAGAGTACAATCCTCTCGACTTTGAACGTATTTTGCTCCCACTCGAAAATGGGTAAAATATGCTCGCTCATATTCGAGCGACATCGAAAAATTAAGTGTGCTTCTTTTTATACCCTCCACCATAGTATGGAGGGTATATTAAGTTTGTCATTCCGTTTGTAACACCTCAAAATTTAAATTTCAGACCCCACAGAGTGTATATATTCTTGATCAGCATAAAATTCTATGTCGATTTAGCGATGTCCGTCCATCTGTCCTTCTGTGGAAATCACTCTAGCTTCCGAACGAATTGAAGTAGATTGATAAAATTTTACTCAAATGTATACTATGATTGCAGGACTTTTGATATTGAAAATGGGCCATGTAGATCCACGATATGGTATAGCCCCCATATAAAGGTACCTCCCGATATGCGGTACTTTTGATAATTTTAACGACATTATTCACCGGAATTGTTTCAAATTTGGTACTTGATGTACGTAATGGATACTACAGCCTATGACAGGAGATTGTCTGTGCAGGTCCCCGTCTTCGTACAGCCCCCACATAACGGTACCTCCCGATATTCGGTATTTTCATGAATTTAGCGACATTATTCACCGGAATTGTTTCAAATTTGGTATTTGAAATTCGTAATGGATACTACAGCCTAAGACAGAAAATTGTCTGTGCAGGTCCACGTCTTCGTATAGCCCCCATATAACGTTCCCTCCGGATATTTGGTATTTTGATGATTTTAGCTACATTATTCACCGATTTTTTAAGTTTCGCATTTGAATATTGTAATGGCTTATGACAAAAGTTACCTATGCAGGTCGATGTCGTCGTATTGACCCTAATATCGGTATTTTTAAGAATTTAACAGAATTTTTAACGGATTTTATTGTTTTTGAGAATTGCCAAATTCGTTCCAAATGGTGGAGGGTATTCAAAATTCGGCCCGTCCCAACTTACAGCTCTTTTACTTGTTTAACATTCCCGGGAGCGCGTTCGAATTCGCATGAGTTTCACTCTTTGTACAAATTCAAACAAGTGCGCTCCTGGGAACTTAACACAAGTCGAGCACATTAAATTTTTCGATGTCGCTTGAATATGAGCGACAATATTTTACTCGTTTTGGAGTTGGAGTAAAATTCGCTCAAAATCGACCAGATTTTACTTTTATTTTTGCTATACTCTTTTTGTATTTTTATGTATATGTACATTTCTGTACAAGTTCACTACCCCCTACCCCCCTTCCCACGTTTCCCCCTCAATGGCGCAATTACGTTCAGAATGGTGCAGTCGTCTCAATTCGTATTGGACACGAATTGACGAAGATATGCGAAACGTCTGCCCGGCGTGTGTTACTGACCCGAACAATATGCTGCACCAATTTAATTGCCCTGCGAAAGCTTACCCCATTCCCTTTAGAAGATCTTTGGTTACAGCCAAAGATCAAACAAATCATGGGGTCGGTCCATCCACGCCCTTCAAACCATCCTCATACATCACAAAAGCAATATATTCCCGAGAACTAGTTGCGCCAGAAGATTTTTTCATGATTATGTTTATCAGTCCGTTTCAAATAATTTTATAAAGTCATGCTAATTGTTATCTATTTTTTTGACCTGAGCCACGAGATTATTCAACATTTTGTGGATATTGTAGTAAATTTATGCCCTCAAAAATAATTATTAAAAATAATTAAAATACATAAAAAAATATTTCCGACATCTGACTATATATGTCATATCAATGTAAGGGTCAGAAGTGCCCTTTTCATTTTTTATTTCAATCGCAAGGTGTTACAATTAAGAATCTCTATGATAATTTTCGCCAGTATGTTGATCAAAATAATCCCAATTTTGAAAGGTAGTGTTTAATAAATCTAACACCGGAACATTTTGTTATGCTAACTTTCCAGAACATTTTTATTATTTAGTCATTTCTCTTTAATATTATTAGTAACCTTGACTGATTTTATCTTCGTTTTCCCATATTTCATTGCGTAGTGCGAACTATATTTGTTTGTTTTTTTTTTGTTATGGCAAAAGTGAATTGTTCACTGAAGTACGTGTTCTTTCTAGGTTACAATATTTTTTTTTTTCTCTTTTTTAAGTTGTAATTTTTAACTAACCTAGCAATACTTTTAATTGGATTGAACGCTGCATTCAAAAAAAAAACCAGCAGCACAAAATAAATATCGGCCATCCATCAAAGCGCGACAGAAACTTTTGCTACGAAAAAAATTCATTGGCAATTGCAGGTTGTTGTTTTTAGTTGTGTCATTTTTTTGTTTTTGCAATTGACACCGAAAATATGGAGATAGAGAAAATAGAACTCATAAATATACATGTTTTTTTCGGCGCAATTTTTTTTTTCACGACAATGTTGAAAATGTATTGTAATTACAAATGTTGAAAAGCAAAAACGCTTAATAATTTCGAATATGACATTTGTAATATAATTCTGGAAGAATAGATAGATTTTTTTCTCACAGAAAATGTCAGAATAGATTGAGTTATATATTATAGATTTTTGATTTGAAGAGGATAACTTTATATATTCGTTTAAAAATAGTAAAAAGGTGTTGCATGACATTCCATAATCTTTGGTGGGACCAGTGATCCAGCAAAGTTGTGTTAACAAAAACCAATCGGTAGTTTCGAAACTACTTAATATAGCTTCCGTTCGAAAGTTAAACATTTTTGGAAAATGTTTCTTAACCTTAATTCACTTTATATAGCTTACACCATATATATGTATATTAAGTCCACCATTTCGTTTGTAATTCATCGATATAATAATTTTCAACCCTACAAAGTATACACACGTCTTTGCATTGCTCCCACACAATGGTACCGCCCTTTATTCGCTATTTTGATTATATTAGCAACATTATTTAACGAAATTGTTTAAAATTTCGCATTTGAAGGTCCTAATGGTTACTACAACCTATAACAAAAATTGCTTATGCAGGTCCACGTCTTCGTATGGGCCCCAAATTGCGGGTTTCATTTAAACCGTATTTTCAACGATTTTTTTAAGTTTTTCAAA